GTCCAAACCTTCATCACGTTGGATTAGGCCCCAACTACCTTAACAAGACTCCTAAAGCGCAAGAAATAAATTCAGCAATCAATAAATGGGATGGATTCAAACTAAAAAGCTTCTTCTTCTCAGCAAAAGAAATAGTCAGTGAGGTGAAGAGAGAGCCTACAGAATGGGAGCAAATCTGTACCACACACAGATCAGATAGAGCACTGATCTCTAGTATATATAAAGCACTCAAAAGACTTAACACCAAAAAAACCAAACAAACAACCGCGTCTGGGGTTGTGGCTCAGTGGTACAGCGCTTGCCTGACATGGGTGAGGCCCTGAGTTCCATCCTCAGCACCACATATAAATAAACAAATAAAGTGAGAAATCCATTGGCAACTAAAAAATATTTTAAAACACAAACAAACAACCCAATCAATAAATGGGCTAAGGAACTGAACAGAAACTTCTCAGGAGATATGCAAGCCATCAACAAATATATGGAAAAAGTGCTCAACATCTTTAGTAATTAGAAAAAAGCAAATCAAAACTACTCTAAGATTTCATCTCACCCGAGTCAGAATGGCAGTTATCAAGAATATAAGCAATAATAAGTGTTGGAGAGAATGTAGGGGGAAAGGCACACTCATCCATTGCCGGTGGGAATGCAAATTGGTGAAAATACTTTGGAGAACAGTGTGGAGATTCCTCAGAAAACTTGGAATGGAACCACCATTTGACCCAGCAATTCCACTCCTCAGTCTATGGCCAAAGGACTCTTAAAACCAGCATACTATAGCGACGTAGCCACACCAATGTTTATAGCAGCTGAATTCACAATAGGTAAACTTTGGAACCAACTTAGATGCCCTTCAATAGATGAGTGGATAAAGAAACTGTGGTACATGTACACAATGGAATATTACTCAGCATTAAAAGAGAATAAATTATGGAATTGGCAGATAAAGGGATGGAGCTGGAGAATATTATGCTAAGCCAAGTAAACCAATCCCAAAAAACCAAGGCCAAATGTTTTCTCTGATAAGTGGATGGTGATCTTTGATGGGGGATGGGGATGGGAAAAATGGACGCAGTTTGGATTGGGCAGAGGGGAGGGTGGAGAGGGGTTATGGGATAGAAAAGACGTTTGAATGAGACGGACATCATTACCCTAGGCACATGCTTGATTGTAAAATGGTGCGACTCTACACCGTGTACAGCCAGAGAATTGAAATGTTG